GTATTAGGTGTAAAACTTTCGGTGATTAGCGATTTTGAACAAACATTTATATCTTTATTTATTTACAGTGGTTCCAAATTTTGATAGCTATTAAACAAAAAAAGAAAATCGATTGAAAACAGTGAGGGAAAAATAATTAAATGTTTTTTCATTGTCTATTTAATAGTAATATAATAATCATAATCAAACAAACGTCTACGTTAAAAAATTATAAATATTGAAAACAAAAACTTCTTTAAAACTTTTAACGAAAATTGTTTTAGAGCTATATAACTCTATAAAGACGTTGTAGGTTACGATGAAATGAAGTCATTCACAAAATTTTGGACTAACGTTAATAATTTTATAAAAAGAGGTAGATACCGCGGAATAAACCGTTATTCGTGTTGTCACAAAATATTATTTTACTCAATAAAATAGTAGTAAAATAAAAACAAATATAGCAAAGACATGGATTTCAATACTGCAAGTCTGCTTTCTCCTATAGAATAATGCTCACCAGAGAATTTAACAATTAATAAATTGAATTTAGGTACCACTCTTTTTGTAATTAAAATATTTATATAACTTTTACACTGTAAATATAATTGTTTTTATTTTCTTATTAATTAGTTGCATATTAATTATTATATGATTGAAATATAATTTTATTATGAAACACAGACTCCAGTCAACAGACCATATAGCACGTCTGATTTTCGGCTTTATTTCCAAAAATATTATTTTGTAATTTATATTATGTTTATTATTTTTTATTTAAAAAAAATAAAAAATATATTACGTAATTTTGATAAATAAAAAGACTTCTTCTTCTTCTTCATGGATTTTAATAAGTAAAACAACATGGCGTCTCTAGCAGTTAAACCTAAATATCCTTCACACGGCTATTCAGTGCTTTTTTCGATCTAAATGAAAGATAATAGCATTTAATTTTTATTTTTTAGTTTTTTATAATATTTTTTAAGAAGATCTTTTTGTTTCAAGTGAAAAGCCAGATATATTCCACGCTGAATGGAAAATAAATAATAAAATGCAAGGAGTCTTATGTAACAATTTTTCAGCAAGAGAATATATTAAAGCTTCAAAACCGGCTAGCGGGATGTTAAGCAATAGACGGCGTGGCACCTGTGATTTCTTTCCAAGCTAACCTGATTTATTCAAGCAAACCTGTATCGTCGTCTCCACGGCTTATTAAATCTCGAAATAAGAAAAAAATAAAATGTATAGCAGATTGCAATGGATGTGCACGAGAAACGCGGAAAATATATTACATTAAAAAATAAAAGATTAGCGGAACTGAAAAAGGTCAAGAACGATGGAAAACAAAAATAATAAATAAAATATGGTGATCTCTCTGCAAATTTTTAATCGAAAAATTAAAAAAACTGAAATACTCGAGTATTTTCTTTTAGTATAATATTAATTTTGTCATCCCCATATATATTACACTTCACTAAACCTTGAATTCGGTTTTGTCCAAATAAGGTTCTGTTATGCTCAAATTGGATTCAGAACTTAGTGGGTTAGCGAATCGTATACTTTCAGTTTTTTTTTTTTATTTAAACCATATATAATTCCGAGCTACACATTTAATTAGGTATAATTTTTTTTAATACTTTTATTGAGCATTAATATAGTCTACCACAGTGAAGGGCATTGGTAATGGTGCTACAGTATCCATTCACACAATATGTACATAAAAAAGTAAAATGAATATAAATAACTAAAGTAAAAAAAAATATGCATACATAATTAAAAAGACAAACTAAATAAGATAAAAAGATTAATTTACACACACACATATATATATATACCAGATAAATAAAATAATAGATTGAAGCTGAATGATAATAAAATAAATAATCCACATTCACACTTATGTAAAATATTTACTTTGGACCAGGAGACTCTTTATTAGAATCTGACTTCTAAAGAGGGACATTGGTCAATCGATGTATCGAGCCAGAAAAAAATTCGGTTTCGAAGATTTTAATAGCCTCTATTACCTCAACTGCATCACTGATACTAAAGCCAGCGGAAATTGATCGAGAGCAGTTTCGCCACATACACTCATGTCTTGAGTGGAGAATCTGGCCATTGATAGAATTCCAATTTATACAATCTACAAAAGATCGCAGGGAAACTGCCGTTTTTGAAGGATTATACGGATTGGTGATGATAGGGATCGTGCAAGAGGATTTGGATGATACATAAGGTTCTGGTGAAATTTGGAGAATTTTTCTGGAATAAAACACAAGGGGAAAACATGGAACAGACCCCAGCAAGTATAATTGTATATGATTTATGATTTTTCTAATTATACCTTAGCTTGCAATATATTATTATATGTATCGCTCTGTAGTAAGAAAGGGTGAGTAATAAAATATCTTGGGAAGAGGGGAGAGATGAGATTTTTGCGCCATAGACCTTGGGGGGATGGGCACCCCTGGGTCTAGGACAAATGGGATGTTGAGGGCATGAATACTTTTAAAGCCATAAAATCTGCCGTTATCGAGGTAATTCATATGAAATGGTTTGCAACCACACAATCTACCTAAATGGTAGCGTAGCCATGGAATAAATTCTGCATGCCATCGATTAAATTCTTATGAATGGCAAAGAAGGAGGTGATATTAATTACCTTCTTATTAATAAATCTTAAGCATAATAATTTTATTAATAATAATTTAATAAATTTTAAGATGAACTTTAAATAACACTTTATTAGCTTTCGAATTAGTAATTTAAATATTTCTAAAAATGTGTAATTTTCTTATTATTTAAAAACCTAATTAAAAAAGAATATATTCTCATTTATTGTCGTGAAATAATCACATCCATCAGAAAAAGGCGAAAAAATATTATAATTCAAAAAGTATTAAAATTTTGAATGATGTAGAGATGGTTGACCGTTGATATGATATGAGAAGGAGTTAGTCGAGGGTGCGGTCAAATAAATCAAAAAATTAAAATATATAAATAATTTTAATTTTTGCCGACGTTTCGACCCACTTTGCAGGTCGTCTTCAGGGCGTTGGATGTGGCACTGCGGGAGGCAGTTCAATAGGCAGTATATATTTTAATTTTTTGATTTATTTGACCGCACCCTCGACTAACTCCTTCTCATATTAAAATTTTGGTTTATATCCATGATCAGCAGAAAGCCTTTTAAATTCCCTACTCTAATTTAAAATATTTATGTGTAAAACTAGTAATTTTGCTCTCGACCAATCTCCGCTGGCTTTAGTACCAGTGACGCGGTTGGGAGAGTAGCGCAGGGTTCTCCTGGAGTTCCCTCGCCTGATTGTACATAGGTATGCATGTGTTTTTTTTTTTTTCCCTTAGTTTTAATTTTCTTATTTTTTAGGTTATTTTATTTTATTGTCTATTGTATATACTTTTGATTATTATTTTGTTCTATTTATTTTATTTTTTTGTACATATGGTGTGAACGTCATCCTACCTCACTATAACCAATGTCCAACAGACAGATTGTTATAATACTCAATAAAGAAATTTAAAAATAAAAAAAAAGAAATTAGAAAACGTTTTCTGTAACCCGAAGTTTTAACGACTTAGCGTCGCGATGTTATTTACTTTTACAAGACCATTGCCTTATTGTGAAAGACTTTTTTATTTATTTATTTTTATGTTTAATGACATTCAAAATACAATGACAATATATAATAAATTGAAAGTCTTTTGCACCACATTACGTTGTACAAAAAAAATTATTTTTACTAATTTTAAGAGTGAAAATTGATAATAAAGATATATCTCTTTTTTTTGTCACTACTTTGAAAATAGAATAATTTTATCTTAAACAACTAATGCCTGCTTATTATTATCAACTTCATTAAGAATCCTCCTAATTTCTCAAGATTTCACGAATAACTTAAAGTAATTAAATTTATAGCAAAAGATACTGTATTATTATAGAAAAGGGGAAGATTTACAAAAGGGGCTATAATATCAACATAGGGGCTCTCTCTCTCTATATATATATATACTGTTGTGTGATAGTAAAATTCAAATATATTTATTTATTAGAATGTCTCGGTACGATAGCAATAGGTTCAAAAATTATAAAACATACAAAAAACTGATTATAAAACATAAAAGGCACGTTAAGACTTGTTCAAAATATTATAGTTATAGCGTACAATAAACTAGTGACAAAAATAAAACAAATAATAGTTAGTTGATAAATTGAGGGCGAGCACGGGGTAGTTTGTCGTGCGGTGTGGTATAACTAATGCGCCTGCAATATTCCAGATGTTATTGTGCTGAATTCGGAATGTCTACCAAAGTTTTAATACACTTCTTGATTAAACGGCCATTGAGTGTATTTAAAATAATTTTAATGTATTGGTATTGTGTATTTTAATTTTTTTTATAAATCGGGTTAATGGAGAAACTAAACAACTAGAAATAAATATACGTAGTGTCCCTAGCATATTCAAGTGGGAGAAACTTTCGGGTTGAAGACCCCTTACTCTCCCCCTCCCTAAATAGAAAAATATTTTTTTTCATTGGTCTATGATTGTTTATATGAGTGATCTGTGAAAAATACTTAATCGATCACAAACATTCACTTTTTTAATTTAAATGATTTAAGTAATTCATTCACTAAGTGTAAGCACGAACAAGAAAAATATAAAGATGGTATCCATAAAAGCATTATTGTTCCAGTAATTAACTTAATAAACTAAAAAAATAAGCAAAAGGTCAAATTTTAGCTCCTAAAATTAAATCTGGATCCGCTGAAGCTTATTGCCAAATATAACAGAGTATAAAACAATATTTTACACTAACTACAGTCATAAATTGAGGATAACCGTCAGAGGAATGGAGGAATAACACTAAGGAGTAGAAAAGCAAATAAATGGATCAGAGCTAAAACTGATCTTCCAGATATTCAGGAAAAAGTGCACATCAGGAAGTGGACCTGGACCGGACATATAATCAGGAGGAATGATATAACATGGACCAGGCAGCTTATGGATTGTTATCCAAGAGAGCACGTGAGGAAGAGAGGACGCCCGCCTAAGGACTGGGACAAGGAGATGAAGATGACCTGTGGGGGAGCAGCCTGGAAGAGATTAGCATTAGAGAGGAAAGAGTGGAAGCGGATGGGACAGGTTCATTACCTAGTGAGGTTGCAAGAGCTAAAAAAAAAAGAGAAAGAAAATCGAACTCAAAACCTCAACTAAAATATTGATTTTGTACATATAAGAATGTCAAGTATAAATCAAAATATAAAGATTTTTTATAAATCTATTTTTTATCCATTGTTGTTTGCACTGTATGTATAAATAAAGGTTATTATTATATTATTATTAGTTAAGGCGATCATATAATATTTTTCAATATTATTATAACAGAGCTATGGAAATAAAAGTTCTAAATATAATCCACGATAAGAAAAGACACGACTATCAAATCTTAGATAAATTAGATCGCATTTTAAGATATTGGATTTTAAAGTAAAAATACTTTAAACAGATAAAACCTTAATCTATTCGGAATCTCTTTGAACAGGCAGCCCTGATGAAGTCCTAAAACTTAAAGTGAAATGTCGGAACAAAGAAAATAATTATAATTTATTTTTAATTCCAATGACTACAATCCCAAACAAATTTTCTTCAGACATTACACCTTAAGGTTTTCTCTTTTTTAAAAGTTGTTTTCTGGATTTTGAATCCTTTGTTAATTTATATATTCAGCATTTTACAGATCCGTTGTTTTAGTTAGTAAATTACTTAAAATATATTATTTTTAATAAGATCTATAATTTTTAAAAGAAAAATACTTTAAGTACAATATAAAAAATCTTAGTGGATCCCTTGCTTTCTAATATCCATCATTTAATCATTTCTGTGTAATTATCAATTTTCTTATTTTATATTTAACAAATCCTTTGCTTTAAGAACTAAAATATAGAAAACATAATTATATTCAATTGAAAATAATTTCCAACTGATAAGGAATCCCTTGGTTAATAAATGTATATAAATAGCAGAAGTGGATTATATGGTGAATAGCAAGCCAGTATGCGTAGGACTATTGATTCAGCTGTACATCGAAGGAAAACAGTTTACACTATGTTTAAATAATTAGACTGTAACAATACGAATCTACATTCACAACACCATTCAGTTCAGTGAACTCCCATTCATCTTGGCTCCCATAAATGTGGGTGTCAATAGTAATAATTCATTAGAAATGAAAATTGAATTGAAAATTTATTTTATGGAGGGTAGAAAAAAAAAAGAAAAAAAAAATCATAAGTAAAATAAATAATACAAAGTGCGAACTTTTAAAAATTCTAAATTTCAATTAGGACTTTTTCAAAAAGATTTTTTTCCAGAATCTAAGTTTTTAAGTTTCAAATTAAATTCCATGTCTATCTGTAGTCAAATCCATTTGACCGAGATACACCTATTACCTCGATGTTATTTTGATTAAATTTTCAGAGATTCTGGAGATTGATTTAATATTGATTTTATCAAAGTCTATACACTATTTTTGCTTATTTACCAGATACTCTTATAATTCGAAAACGGTACGTTCTATTGGAACCAAATTTAATTAACGTAAAAATCCAATTTCATCTCTACTTTTGCTTACGCATGCGAAATACTAATTTAGACATATTTGAAAATGCGACCGCCTGTAGCACAGAGATCACAAATTTTGTTTAAATTATATTGCATACATAATAAATGTAAGCAAATATATTTTAAAATCATTATTGTTCATGTGATTAACACATTCTCAAGTACTTATTTATTTCATGTAGGTAGATTCTTTCATTTTCTTTCAAAGTAATTAACATAAAAAAAATCCATTCTCCAAAAATAAATTTAGGATCATTGACTACATCAAGGCAAAATGTTAATAAAAGATTTAAACGACTATAAATGGTATGTTACTTAACTGAAATTTTTCTAAAATAATACGACAAAAATTTAAATAATAACTTTAGCAATTAAAAATCCACATTTGTTTCTTTTTCAGGACAGAAAGATAAAATATTTACAAAAAATATTTTCTGTCCTTAATATATATATATATTGTTGGAATTTTCCCGTAGAGCCAGCCATAATCTTATGGAGTTTAATTCCTATTGTTAAGTAATTTTATTATAGATATATTTATTTATTGAATGCAAGTATAATGTGACACTGATGATGTCCTTAGGTTTGTTCGATGTTAATAATTTTTTACATAAATTATTATTATTATAAGGATTAAAAATATTTTGAAAATTTATGTCTCTAATTTTTATAGGCAGGGCATTATATAATTATGAATGAAAAAATTATATGGTGGAAGATTTCTTTCTGATTACATTTCTCACATTAATATGCTGTAGTGTAGGTGTACTTTGCATAAACCATGATTTGATCTAAACCAAGCAAAATGTTTAACTATGTCTTTTGATAGGTTCAATATAAAAAACCAAGACTTACTTATATTCGCGGTACATTAGACTTATAAAATCTGCCAGTAAATGAGTCCTAATAATGGTGGAACCATTTACTTATTATTATTTTTTTTAACCATCAAAACGTAATCTGTGTATGGCAGTTTCATGTCGTGGATAGTCTACCGTATAGTTTTCCTTAATTCCCTTTAACCCACATAAACATTATTTGGTTTTTATTGTTTATGGCATAAAAGTGTTCTATGATCACGAACAATAATGCTTTTATGATTATAGCAATTACAAAAAAATATTCTTCCTTAAGCAAGCATTCAAATAAAATCTGAAAGAAAAAAGATACATCATTATTACAAAACTAATATCACGTGTAGTATCTGTACGAAAAGATTAAAAACTCAATCGAAAGCGCTAGCAATCACTATAGATAACTAATCGTGAGGTCATTCACGATCGAACGTTCAAAGATTCGTAGCAAAATTAATACAAAAATAATAATGGCATAATCTTTTTGGCACGTATCGATTATCAGTGTCGTGTCAACGGCTGTGACATCATACGACGTTGCAAGGCTACAAGAGAGCGCTGTGTCACCAACGAATCGCACAGCTTGCAGAAGTGCATCTCCCTCAATCGTGAAAGGATGTCTCAAGATCTCAAGATCTTGCATAACACAGGAAAACATGCGCTCTAGTTTGTGTAAAAGTAAAGAATGGATCCCAACCAGAAAGGAGTCTTCACGAGACTCAACATGTCGCAACGGACTCGAGTTCTCATTTGTTTCGTTTAAGAGAATGTCATACAAATAATGAAAGTATAATATTAGTTTGTCTCAAATAAAATACAAACAAAAATTATATTTATAAATATAATTAAAAGTCTAATTAAAGAATATACTATAATAAATATTTTTAAAAAGAATAAACGTTAAAAAAAAAAAATATATATATATATATATATATATGCTTTTGAATAAGTATATAAAATTGTGTTGAAATAGAAATAAAGAGTTATTGAGTTAAAACCAACAGTTATTTTATCAATTTATATTGTTTATGTATATCAATAATAGTTGACCCTTGAGAATTATTCACATCACTGGTGAATCTAAATGGGGGCGGCGGCTTTTAGGATGAAGCCTCCAAAATGAAAAATTGATTTTTTTTTTACTGGTCTATATGTGTATAGATCTAAGCTAAATATTTAGTACAATCACAATATACAATATATTTTAAAATTATAATACATATACTTATAATGTAACTATGTCTTACGAAAAAATGTTTAAAAAAATATTCCTAAAGTATTATTGTTCATGTAATTACTCTTTTTTTCAAATAAAACTTCAACAATCATTTCATATTGGTAGTTTGTATCTTTTTCTTCCAAAATAATTATCGTTATATGTACAAAACAAAAATAATTTGGGCTGAAGCTCTCCAAAATTATATCTTGGATCCACTACTGAGTTATATCCAATACTGATTCGCTTAGTGTATTGGTTAGTGAACAAATAGCCAAATAATAAGGAAATTTAATATATTATCGCTTAGAAAAATAATTTTTTTATTGAACAAATTCACAACAGGATGGTCTGATTTCAATAATTTTCTTTTTCGTTAATTAAGGAATTTTTAAATTTTGAATGAATATAAACGGCCATAATGTTTATACTTTTAGAGTTGTGCGCAAATAAAATTTCTTTTTCTTCATAACTTCATATCTTTTCTCATCTTAAAGAAAAGATAATCTTCAAAACTATGGACTATTTAAAAATAAAATGATGGCATATTTAAAGATTTCGTTGCTATACCGACAATAAACTTAAAAACTGAACTATCGAACTGACTTTATAGTTTAATAATGAGAATGACTGACAAGAGAAGCGTATGTTATATTATAAGGATTAATCTATAAGAGAAAGATAAAAGAAGAAAAAAAAAATTGATAAGTATTTCAGTTTACAATTGGTATAACCGAATTTATTGTTTCGTTGGCATACTAATTTATTATATTGTACGGCATTAATTGACTGGAACACATTTACATATTGTCATCTTCGAATTATTGGAGATGGAAAAAACGTGGTTTGGAAATATTCACCTAAAGTATAAGAATATTTATTTAAATTCTATTGAATGTTCAGAAGTGAATAATGTTGTGATTTCACATAGGGAAGATCATCAAATTATTCACTAATTTAATTTTCTAAAATGTTACTTAATGATTATTTTAATGAAATCGACGATATATACCTAATTATTTATATATATTATCGGACCTAAAGATATTAAACTACATTCAATGTGTTCAAGGTTATCAACATATGCTTTACTCATCCATGAAATATTTTTTACACAATTTCTCGAGTCAGTGGACAATATTTTTTTTTTCCAAACTTCTTAATATTTTTATTTAATTTACATTTCATTTATTTACAATATAAAACATTTGGTTACCGTTATATAATATTAATTTTCAGAAATTTACGTTTTCTCGTTACTCTGTATTATCTTCTAAGATTTTGTATGTTATTTTTTTTTTCTATAATCCTCAGCTTTCCAACCATACTTATATATTTTGTATATTATTTCCGGAAATTCATTTTCAATCCGAAAAACCTGTTTTATTTTTTCTCATTTAGTCATTTGCCGAATTCTTTCATACATTGTATTGAGTCATTTTTTTTATTACTGCTGACAATTAGAGACAATTAATTAATCAAAATATACAAAATTAAAGGTAATTTGGATGAAGACATTTTTAAAATTCGCAACTTAATGTAGTCTGTTAGGTTACAAGGATCAGGATAATATCTAGCTGGTATTGAAAACGTATGTAATTTTAATGAACTGTCATTTATTGCTCCTCACTGAATTATTGAGATAACCTGCATGGACTGATATTCCGGGAACAGGTTATGTTCCATCACTACTATCGATTCATGCCAACAATCGATTAGCTGGAAGAAGCCGATTATGATATAGCATTAACAAGATAGGACTGATGACAGTACCTGTAATATCCCGGCAGTTCCCCGTGACGACAGCTAAAGAAGACAGGTCACACACAGTATCCCTTAGTCCTCCGACACACATCAACAACTGCTCGGCAAGAAGGAGCAGCGAGGGGGGCTTGTTGCCGACTGGACTCCAGCGGTCCCCTCCAGTCCTGGAGGAGGAGGAGGGGGAGGTCGTCCGCTCACCTTGTCGTCCGACACCCACTGGCTGGCTACCATCTTATATCTCGGTCCTTTGTTGTAAGGTGCACTCAAATTATTAGTGGAAATATCTGATAATCAGTGGCGGACCCAGGGTACAATTTTTAAAGAGAATGATTGGTTCAAATTTTTAACAGAAACACAATTTCTCTGAAAAAAACAAAACTATAATTTTCTAGTCACATCCTTCAGGTTTGGTGCCATTTTATCATAATTTTTTTATATATATTTTAGGCCAAAGGTCACCAAATATACACAGTTTTTTTATCTCCTGTATTCTTTATTCAAAGTTTCGGCTTCAGGAGCCATTTTCAAGATCCATGCACCACGCCATAATTTTTTTAAAAATCTATCATTGCGATATGATTCGTCCTTTAGTCATTCTTTTATTTCAAAGAATGTCGTTTTTTCATTTCTCTTTTGCAGACGATATCAAGTAAATTGTTACTCCTGTATGAATGCCCTAGTGAGGAGCAACAATTTTCTTGATATCGTCTGCAAAAGAGAAATGAAAAAACGACATTCTTTGAAACAAAGGATGTCTAAAGGACGATTCACATTGCAATGATAGATTTTATAAATTTTATGGCGCGGTGCATGGATCTTGAAAATGGCTCCTGAAGCCGAAACGTTGAATAAAGAATACAGGAGATAATAACACTGTGTATATTTGGTGACCTTTGGCCTAAAATATATATAAAAAAATTACAAAACTATAAAATGTGTCCAGTAAGTAGTATGAAATATTTAAAGGGTCGATAGCAGACGTCAAGAGCTACAAACAATGTATATTTCAATTTACTTTTATTTATTTATTAAAAAATAAATTATTTATATATTTTATAAATTTAATTATATTTAAGCTTTTATATATTTAATTATTTATTTAGGTATTTTTTAACAAAGTATATTATTTATATTTATTACATAAGATATAACAAAATATATTAAATATCTTTACTTTCATATAAACTATTTACCAATTTTGTATACAAATGGTGATAAACACTTCACTATTCACAGAGGTTTAAAAACATTTTATTCTCAGAATCGAAAAGTTTCACTGGCGTTTCAGACATCAAGGATCAAATTTGGTTTGGTGTCTGTCTGTTAGTCTGTACTCAAATCGATGTGAAGGACATATTACCTACTTATTACATAAGAAATAACAAAATATATTAAATATATTCATTTTTTTAGAAAATAATATCGTTCATCACTTACTAGTCAGACTTTTTTAATTTGTATCACTACATATTTTATAACATTTTGCACCGACGATGAAGGAAAATCTATTATGTTGCATCATGTTGTCATATAAAGTTGTCTATGGTGGAAAAAATTTAATTATAAAAGTATACTATCAAAAGTTTTTTATTGCCAATAAAGAAGTTTTGTTGTTTTTCTATCTTTTTACGGTTTATCGATTATTAGTCAATTGACTTTACAGTAATTAGCCTTATTATATTCTATTTCATATAATATATATATCTATATAGGAAAATGAGTAACCTAATGAAAAGTGCAAATCTTAAAATTTACTTGAAAAAAAAATTAAATTATTTTAAGTTAACTATATTAGGGCATATTATTTGACTGGAAATAGTCGCAAAAAATAATGTATGCTGTCGGAGTGGAATTTTCAATTCAAAATTAGTCAATAGCATGTAAATTAGAAATATAACAACAAGTTTTTAAACAAATTCAGAAAGACAGCTATTTTTATACATCTTCTAAAATCAATTTATCAATATGATTTCTTACAATATATAATCCATAAAAATATAATTATATGTTTTTATTAAGCTTATAATTTTCTATTAAAATAACTTTATTTTAATAGAAAATTGTAAAATACTCCATTAGTTCAGTATTTTTTTGTAAATAAACCGATTTTGAAAAAGGTTTGTATGTCTGAATTGACTGAAAGTTGAACATACAATAGTCTAGAACGATCTGTATCTTATTTAAAATCGATTTATTGCTATAACTTATTTTAGTAATCAGTCAATCGAAATTTGTTTTAAAATCGAAGTCAATACAAATTAATTTCCATTTATAAATAAAATATTATTTTTGTTATTGTATTAACGTAAAAATGTTTGAAGAACCTCATTATATCAAATCATATATTAATATATTGTACATGAAATATGTACCTCACTAAAAAAGGGCTTAATTTATTTTTGAAACTAAAATAGCAAATATTATTTTCTTTAAATATAACTTATCGTTTAATTGTTAAAATATTTTATAGCAATGCCGTATGTATTATCAACACCATTTCAAGCCATATAATTTTACAACTATATAAATGACAGAACTAAAGTAATGGAATATCGAAATGAAATTATTACTCTGCCCTGTCCAGTTTCATTGCTTTGGCACCAATTCAAGAAGGTTAATAACGATTCCAGTACAAAAACAACAAGAGCCAAAACATGGCCTCCAACAAACCGATCCAGGCTATTAAA